GCGTTTTTTGGCTATTACCATGAGGCCATATCATTGCCTAGGGGGAGAGGTAAAATAATGTTCACTATGAAACTTTTTATAGGTTGGGCCTGCATTTTTCCATCCAGAGTCAATTGGCTTGAGTGGAATTTGAGCCATGGACTGTCTTTGGAAAGCTGGTCTCCATTCTTGATGTTTATTGTCAAGTCAAGTTTCTACCTACTCGATCATTCATTCCATCCACTTCCAGCCAGTTCTGTATGTGGCATAGTTTTCAAGGTGTCATTGCGATCTTTCTAGGTTGTAAAATATAACGAGCCTTTTTTCCCCTCCCTATGTTAGTGTGTAGAAAATAAGAAGTTAAAAGTTCTAAAACTTAAAAGGGTGGCTGTAATAAAACATTACCAATGGCATGATAACTATGGTAATATTGTGAATTTAATTATGTAGATCACAGCCACCCAAGATCTTTATATTTTAAAAAGTGATTTATTTATTTATTTTGTGAGAGAACGAGTGAGATAGACAAGCACCCTCAATAGGGCCTCCTGCTTCAATCTTCCTCCCAAACATCCTATTCAATCAAGATTGTGGCACATGTTTGTGTGCTGCTCATTTAGAGGTTGGCAAAAGAAATGAGCTCTGATTTCCCATATGGCTTCCAGCACTGCAGAGTGGTTTGCTACCACTGACCCATGGAGACTGGGTCACAAATCTCTATTTCTTAAGGATAGGTAAGAAATGCAGTATTTAGTTCATACATAAATTATTTTGAAAAGTAAAATTTAATTTCATCTACCAGATTTTGTTTTTGAGCTACTTATTTATAATAGACTTAGATAAAGTGATATTTCAAACAGGAAAAAAAAAAGGTATCAGCATAGTGAGTTTCCTAATAGCAGAATTCTTCAATTTTTAAACTTTATACATAGTATAACAAAAACAAATGTATATTAATCTACGAAGAAGTAAGTCATAATAACTGATGTTCGGGTTCTTAATTCTGAAAATTTCTCTTGGCAAAACATCATATTACAACATTCATAGCATGCTGTGTGTCTAACCTTTTGTTCTCATTTCCTCCAACATTTACACTTACCCAGCTCCCCCTGCCTGCTCTTGACCCTCCCATTTTTCAGTCCAGTTGCCTGTATTGCCCATGTAACAAGGCTCATGATGACTGGCCCAGTTCCCTCCTCACAGTTGTGATGGCACACAGTGTACATCCCTTACGGACACATGCGTTAGGACCGTCTGTCCATATCTTAGAATTCACAGGCAGCTGGACCTTGCTGACTGACATCTTGACAGTTTTCTGACCTGGTCTGTTGAAATCTGTTTTCAGTGCAATGCATTTGCAACCTACCCAACTAGATTTTTCCTTTCCTGATTCAGACCCTAGTTGAGGTCAGCTTATACTTTCATCACTGCAATAAATGTTGACTTCATTCTCCACTCAGCTGCCCAACTTCAACAGAGGGATGCAGCTTAAGGTTACGCATCTCTGTCACTCTCTTCCAGGTTCTTCCCTGGCAATACAATGTTCTTGGCAACAGTGACCAGTCAATTTAATATCATTTATGACACATGTGGGATGCCTAACACAGTGTTGGACAGCGTAGCACATGTAAGAAATACAACAACATGGTTTCTGTTCTCCAGGGGCTCATAGTTTTACAATTTCAAACACGTGTTTGGTAAATTGTGCTAACTTGTGAAATTCTTTATCTTTATTAGAAATCAACAGATATCTTAAACAATTAAAATCCACTGTACTTCCACTTATCTCTAGAAAAGCTTTAAACTTCCCAGGTCATTTCATCAAGTCAATGGCTTTTTGCATTTCTTTCTTTTACTTACCTCATAACTGCATTCCCTGTTAACCCTGCCTTCTTATATTTACATGTAACAGGAACTGTATTTTGTTATAGATTATCTTTTGTTTCCCCCAACTTCTTTGGCCACTTCTCCTCTCATCTTTTTCTTTT